CACAAAAGGCACACCCCTAGAGACCTTAGCCGCGGTTCGGGCTGCCTTAATACAGTTGGAACAGGAAGTTGGGAGTTCAACTCAGCCATCTCAGTCACCATCAGCCCCTGCCACATCTGCATTTGCACATTTAGGTACTCGAGCCTCAGCCTACCATGCTTTAGCTCCAGGTAATACTGAACACTGTTGGGTAATAGATTCAGGTGCATCCGACCATATGACTAGCTTGCCATCATTTTTCACTACTTATCACTTGTCTTCTGGTAGAGATAGAGTATCCATTGCTGATGGCTCACTTGTTCCCATTTCTGGCAAGGGTGACATCAAGTTATTGGATACTATCTCTTTATCTTCTGTCTTGCATGTTCCTAAGCTTGATACTAACCTACTTTCAGTCAGTAGTATTACCAAACATATGAATTGTTCAGTAACATTTTTCCCTGATCAATGTGTTTTTCAGGATTTGGAGACGAGGAAGGTGATTGGGACTGGCCGTGAGACAAATGGGATCTATCTACTCGGAGAGAGTTCTCGTTGGGAAGAGCCAGTGGATAAGAAGTCCTTTGTTTCTCAGTTTGTGAGTCCGGTTATGCTTTGGCATAATTGATTAGGTCATTTGTCTTTCCGGTCCTTGAAGAGTCTGTTTTCTGCTTTATTTGAGTCTGTTGAGTTGTCAAAGTTGAGATGTGAGAGTTGTGAGTTTGCCAAACATTGTAGAACATCTTATTCTTTGAGTAATAAAAGGAGTAATAATTCTTTTGATATTGTGCATACTGATGTTTGGGGGCCATATCACATCCCTTCTATGCGTGGGTACAAATATTTTCTGTTGTTTGTTGATGACCATACCCGTTTTTCTTGGGTCTATCTTATGCGTTCTCGAGATGAGGTTCCCGCTCTGACCCAAAACTTTCATCAGATGATTCTAACCCAGTTTGGGGCCAAAATCAAAGTTCTTAGAATAATGCAAAGGAATACTTTGCTAAGCCATTGACCTCTTACCTCCTTAGTCCTGGAATTATTCACCAGAGCGCACTTGCCCTCATACACCACAGCAGAATGGGGTTGCCGAAAGGAAGAATAGGCACATCTTGGAGGTGGCTAGAAGCATTATCTTTACCTCCAATGTACCTATTCGCTTCTGGGGCGATGCTATCCTTGTGGCGGTATATCTCATTAATCGGGTTCCTTCCCGGGTTCTTGATATGAAAACCCCTTTTTCCCTTCTATACTCAGACGAGGAGTTGTTTACCGTTCCCCTTAAAACCTTTGGTTGTACCTGTTTCGTTCAGCTTCTCGGGCCCCATCATTCCAAGTTTGAACCTAAGGCCTTTAAATGCATTTTCCTCGGTTATGCACAAACTCAAAAGGGTTATTGCTGCTATGATCCTGTTTCAGGGAAGAAGTTTGTCTCCATGGATGTCACCTTCTTTGAGGAGACACCCTATTATCCTAGGGTTTCTCCTCAGGGGGAGAGCAGTGAGAGTGGGGATTTGGGTCTCTTTCCTTAGGGGGAGCGCAGTGGGAGTGGGGCTATTCCTTTTCCTATTCCATTGGGTGATGAAGGTTGTAATGGTGAGGGTGGTCAAAAGGATCAGGAGTTGAGAGTCTATTACAGGCGATGCAGGCAGGTTGATCCCAGTCATCGGCAGTCCAGGCCAGCTCCAATTCCTTCTGCGGCTCCAGATCCAGGTATTACAGTCCCAGGGCCCACTGAGACACCTTCCACTATTGCCACTTCTCCTCCTGCAGATGACCTTGACCTCCCTATTGTCGTTCGTAAAGGGAAACGACATTGCACCACATCTACAACTCATTGCATTTCCCAATTTTTATCCTATGGTTGCCTATCTCCCTCTTACCGGTCCTATCTCACTTCCATTGCCAATGTCCCTATTCCAAGAATAGTGCAAGAAGCCTTATCAGTTCTAGAGTGGAAAGATGCAATGCAAGTTGAAATGGATGCCCT